GCCCTGTGGGTCTCGGTGACATGCCGTTCCCCAGGTTAGGCGATCCTCCATTAAGCCAGGATGTGTGGGTCTTGAGAACTCGCAGATTTTTCCTGGATCAAAAAATAACAAATAACACTGTATTCCTGAAACAAAAACTCTCAAAAGAGGAAAGAGACTCTTTTGTTCATATAAAGAAGACTGGTGTTGTTTTCTTTCTTTTTTTCTTAAATTTCTGGTCCTAATTCTGAAGCCAGCTAGCATACATTAGTGCAGTATATGCAGAAGTTGGCAGCAAATAAAATCATTAAACCTAAAATTGCAGTAGTAGCCACCAGGGCAATTAAATATCACTGTATAGCTGTATGTTTTCAATTCTGCTTCACATTTCATTTGACCTGGAGAGAAAGAATAACTAACTTTGAAGCATGAAATCCCTTTGGAAACAGCCTTAGGAAGCAGTGGGAGAGACACAGTCCCTGTTCTTTAGATACTTTATTACATTAAATCAATACTTCACGTGTTCTGTGCTGCACGGCCCATTAGTTTGTAAGGGACCAGAATTAGTGTAGGACCTACCTCTAAAACAACTGCGATTTGCCAGGCCTTGCTGATCCTTTCTACCTGAGGATCGTTTGGTTGTCTGTTCATTCACAAACTCTCAGCCCTTTGCTGGCGGGTTCCTGCTTTACTTGCTGATGTAGATTCATGGTTACGTGGTACACCAGGCTGACTGTCCAAGAACAGCACGAACCACAACCTGTAAATAGATTATTATCTATTTGTTGACTTTTTCGGTTGTCTCTTCCCACAAGAACATCAACTTGAGGGTAGGGACATTGTATTGTTCACCCAAACCTCACACGTGATAGATGCTCAATAAATATGTATGTAGTAAAATAAAAAACTAAAAATTAAAATAAGAATACAGGACATTATGATATTAGAGTTGGGACAGATGTCTGTTTCCAGTTGTCTATTTCAAAATATGCTGAATGGCCACTTAGAGGCACAAAAAGATCAGCAGAATTTGATAGGTACATCTTGACAATGGGTGATTGAGATATCTCACCAAATACCGTCGAGCTTTGTCATCCTTTCCTGGCGTCTTAATGTGTGTCGAGATCACAGGACAATTTGAAATCCTGCAAGGCTGCAGCAGTTTTCAGCTCTGTTTTAGCAATTCCCGGATTGGATCCCCTGGCGCCATTTTGTTTCTAGCTTTATCTTACTGTTGTGGGCTCCTAGCAAATGCCTCTGCGTGGACTGACCGTCTGCGTTTCTTGTCAGTTTCAGAGCCCTCTATGTGAAAATCCTCAAAATAGTCAAATGCCTCCAATCAATTTCACAGCAAAACAGAGCTCTGTGGCTTTCTATTTACTTGCTATTTGCATATTTTAATAAGAAAATTGTAAATGAAGCTGGTTCCATAGCAGGGTTATGATGTTACAACGGTGGCACTCCAACCACACGGCTCCTGCAGCCGCGTGGCGCAGCACCGCAGATGTGCCGAACACCTGTGTTTATGTCTGCGCGTCTCTGGCGGCACGTTGCGTCTGTAGGTGGTCTAGAAGGGAAAGGAGAAATTGAGGAAAGGCTCTCACTGCCAGAGAGAAATGACAGCCACGTAACCTGGAGACAGGGAAGCACCAGGTCAGAATGTGAAAACAGTTCCTCTTAGGGGCCGCCAAGGGGCCTCTCCTGTGCTCGCCCCTCCGTGTGTGCAGAGGGCGGGAATGACCTGACTGTGTGATTTTTCTGCGAAGAAGAATTGAGACCACTGTATGTTCTAAATGAAGGGTTTATGACAGAACACAAGATAGCATTTTAATTTATTTCAAATTGCTAGCTAGCAGTGGGTGGGTGGTTTTTTGTTTTGGAGGGTTTTTTGTTTGCTTGCTTGGTCTGTCTTTTAAAATTCTCCACTTGAAGTCCTCCATATTCAGTGAGGACAAGGCTAACTTCCATTTTGTCTGTGATGTCAGCAGTCACAGAAAAAACATAGAAAATAGCACCATATTCCCAGGTTATTCCACAGGTGTGATGGAACCCCATATGGACCAAGGCTTAGGAAAGCCATCTGCTGGGTTGTCACTCTGTACCTCTGTTGTCAAGGAATGTCCCCCCATTAGGAGCAAAGTGCCAGCTACAGCTTCACGCAGGCGGGCCACATGGCGCTGCCCTCATGACGTGCACGTAGGATGTGAGTCCTACCAACACGCCTTCGTGAAGCCCCCCACCTCCCGGAAGTTTAGGGTTGCCTTGCGTATGATCTGCCAGCCTGTCTTCAGATCTCATTTCTTTCACGAATTTTACCTGAGTTGTTTTCATTGCTCCTTGGTTTCGCACACATCCAATAAAATATTTTAAACTCCTTAATAAAAGCAGGTTTCTTGCCCTCTGTGTTTGGTAGCTTTCCCCAAAGTTGTTAGCTCAGATGTGCTCCCCTGCAAGAGTGTGGACCACGGTTTCCAAAGGCAAATACGAGCATCGGTGTGCAGGACCTGGCTCTGCTCGCACGGCACAGGTGTGACCTGGCCGCTGAGGAGGTGTGTGTCCTCAGGCACTTGACCTGCTGCCTGCAGGTAGCTGCCTCCTGAGAGTCCATCTTTATACTTTTTTGTGGCACTAAAGGATAAGTAGTACATGCAAAATTAAAAGCCAAAGATAATTTCCAGGCCACACTTTAGCTAACAGTCTGAGCCTTTGTTTTTCCTGACCGAACCCTTGGAACAAAGACAAGAACATGGAGCATTGCCAGTTGATTTGAATCATATTTTTTTTTACCGCTCATGAAAGGATAAAAGTTTTTTTGCAGTGAAATACTAAAAATATCCACAGCCCCTGAAAACTCAAGAGTTGACTATAGTACTGTTGTTTTAAAAAAAATTACATTGAAAGTCCAAAAACCCATATTCCAGATCCTGCTAGATATTGACCCTGATTGTTTGACCTCTTGACAGTTCCAGTTACCTCATTTTTAAAATAAGATGGTTGGATAGGAGAGAGCCTAAAGTCCCTGTAAGCTCTAAAATCCCAGGACTGCACTTTTCAATAAACAACTCTTCTGCAGTGAGCTCCGGCCGAGCTGCAGGGCCTTCTCTTCTGGCGACTTTATCTGGCCATCTGCGTAGAACCGGACATACGGGCGGTGTTAGCGCAGTTTTCCCAAATAACTCTACGTGCCAGCGGTAGTGGATCACGCTAATTGTTCTGCTATTCAATTAAAGGGATTCCCCCCCGCCACCCAGAGGCTTCATTCTTTGAATTTGTGACCTATAAGACAATCCATTTTAAAGTGAGAACTCGGTTGCTTCCTCTGACTTTGAAGCAGACTGTCGGTCCAGTTCTGATTCCGTAACTTTCTGCCCCTCTGTCCTGAATCACGTCCACAGTCCTCACAGCTCCCTTGCCCTGCGAACTAATTACTTCACTTTTTTGTCCCTGACTAGGAAACTGTCATAGAAAGCCAGGCCACAGTCGTTTAAATGTGAAATGATAAAGAGAAAAACAATATGATGTGAAATACATGGGTTGCATTTTCAGTTTTGCATTTGTATTGAATTCCTACTTTTCCACAAAGTAATTCTTCCTAAGTTTGGCCACATTTTTTCCAATCCTGGATGTGTGTGCTGATACGTAATATTATTGTGTTTTACATGTATTTAACATGATGCATGGTCAGTCCACTAATGTAGATTAGAACCCGGATGAATGCACAGACACGGAGGATAGATTTAAGCACGTGTATGCTTTTTTTCTGATGAATAATAGCTTTTCGGGACTCTGTAGACTTGTGAGGATTCCTAACGAAATTTTATTTGAGAACAAATGGAGATTCTCTCTCCCATTATGTAATTAGAACTAAATCGTAGAAAGTTATGACATCTTTTTGCAGATTTCGTTTTGTGGAAGCAGTTAGTGGCTGCCGTTTGTTCCTTCACGTTGTTTTGTGTTTGGATGTGTTTAAATGTAATCGTCACTGCTGTGAAGTGGCCTCCTGTTTGCAAGCACGAATTTGTTAAAACACATTTAGAAGGAAGTTTTCATTCTTTAGGGAAATCAGTTTTGAAATAGAACTTATAGACCGTGTTTTCCTCAGTTATAGTTCTGGCTTGCTTCAAATTGCCAACCCTCTTCTGCTACCGAATGGGAAGATTGACTGGCCACAGTGTGACAGGCACCATGCTGATTAATATCCAGGAAAAATGTTAAACGCCGTGAAGCTTTCTAAACTCTTGCTTTACAGAAATAGGCTGGTAACTACGGACTCTATAAATTTGGCGGCAATTTTTCTAGTAAATATAATTTCAAGCTAGAAACTCTGTAACGTAAAGTAGGATAAGACCCACAGGAAAAGGGAATGAAACGCATGGCTGTATCAATCCTTGCCCCCCAGATGGGTTTTGGCATGCTTTCAGAGAAATAAAATATAAATTAATCCTCAAAGAATTTAGGATGTTCTTCCAGAAAGAGACGAGTCAGCTTCCCACATCAAAAAGAGAGGGGAGTCTTCTGCATATTTAGTCGATCTTCTATATTTATAGAATTTTCACGTTGCTTTCCTTTCTTGGTTTACAGCAATTGAATAATTCTTCCCTTTAAAGATGTCTAAGAAATCTGTTTAGTTGATCCTAGAGGCAGTGCAATTCTAGAAAGCACTTACAAAAAAGGTTTATTTTCTGCACAAACTACCCACAAATGCAGAGGGATCTCCTGTACGTGTACGTTGCAGTAATTCAAGCTCGACTTTTTTCAAATCAACAAATATTGACGTAATGCCTCTTATACTCAAGGCATTGTTCTTTTTTCTACATGTTCTCTCTTGCTTTCTATAAATTTAAGCTAATCTGCCATTAAGGCAAAGACATCATAATGATTATCATTATTGTTGCAATATTAATTTTCTGAAAGCAATATAAGAAAAACATACATGGGATGGTGGGAAGCGAGGAGAATAAATGGAAAATCCAAGTTTGTTTTCTTTTTATTTTTTGTTCCCAGGTCTTGTTTGCTCGTTTACAATTGGGGCTGATGCAAATCAGTTGCATAAGAAACTCTGTTGGAGAAAATAGTCGCTGAAATTCGGAAGAATCTGTCTTTCCTGCTTATTTTTCAAGCATACTCTCACATATTTAAATCAGCAAATTTCAAGTGGAACCAAGTAAAGGACTGTTCTATTGGTCAGGCTCACGTGTAAACACAGTTATGTCAGCAGTATTTTGACGGCAGAAATGGTCCCAGTACACAGGCTGTTGTCGCAACTAAAATTTTTACAATGTAAGGATGAATAAACTCGCCACTTTAAAATGTTAAGTGCCCCATACATTATCAATACTCCCATTTTTAATGTGAACTTATTCATATTGGAAAATATATATATTATAATTTACATTATATGTGTATATTCACATACACATTGAGACCTCTATTGGAAATATAGAAATACTGTATAGGCATTTGTAAGCCTCAGATGGTAAGTATACAATTAAATACACATTATAATGATTATTTTTGAAAAATGACAGTAACAAATTGATTCAAACTTCTTTTGAAACTATGTGCACATCCTGATTAGGAATCTAATAACCCCATATTAAACAGTTTCAAATGATTAGAAATGTTATATATTTCACAACAATTAATGAGCATAAATAATTTAGAATACTGACCTTCCTGATAAAACTGTAGAATGCAGATAGTTCTTTCATGGAATCAAGGCTTTCTACTTTATCCAGTGAGATTTCGTATTTTCTTAGCATATAAAGTAATAGCAAGATCAAATTAACTATTATAAACCTAAGAGCTCTTACATTTTTAAGAGAAAATTAGAACATTTCTCATTACAGAAGCATTTTGTGACATAAAAACATAACATTTTAATGAAGTACTTCCACAGACTCTTAGCCGCCAGTTTATTTAAATATTTAATAACTAAATATACAAATTTAGTAATTCTGATCAATGAATTTATGCTGACATCCCTTCTGTACATCTATGATACTATTAATAATACTGCTAATAATGTAATTAATAATAGTCTTCAATTGCTGCGAAACACTTAGAGATAAAAGCTTTCTTTAGTGTATGAAATTTATGGGAGTCCCAGGTGCTAAAATCTCATCTTGTTTTGATTACGGACACACCCCCAGTTCTTCTCAGGCCATGGCAAACGTAATGCACAGAGATCCTAATGGCTCCCCCAGGAGGGCCCTCGCTTCAGGAGTGGTCGGTAGATGGTGGTGGCTGGAACATTCTGCAAGGTTGACGCAAGCGCTTTAGTCTGCAAATGAAGGTAGTGACAGATGTCAGTTAAGAAACTGACTTTAACTAAACAACTCCTTTTGCATGAGACATTCAGCTTCAATTCACAGAAATTGGTTATTACTCCTGTGCCCTTTTATTTCCTGAAAGTCACACTTCAGTATCAAGGAGAAAAATGTTACCAAACCAAAAACGGCTGGCAGCAAGAAAATGAGAACTGTTAACTAACAACTGATCCAAAAAAAAAAATAATAATAATAATGGCAGCAGATAGAGAAGAAAGCTGTCTGTAAACGAATTACGAATCACTCTCTCCCTCTTTCTTTCCCTCCCTCTTTCCTTCCTTTTTTTTTGTTTTTTTTCAACCGGACTAATTTTCCTAAGAAATTAGAAGTTCTTTCTTCTCAAACAAGCAACTCCTATGACTTTGTGATTTTAGCTGTCACTCTCGGTGAAGCTAAGGGCAGTGGCAGATTAAGGCGGGCCTCTTGCAGTGGCAGGCGACTGTCTTCTGCTGAAGGGGCCTCCCGCCTTGTCTGTGGGCAGCCTGGCCTGGCAGGTGGACCAAAAGATGGCTGTGCTCAGGCCAGCAGAAGTCACTGCAGGTCACCACACACATGCCCATGCACAGATCCAGGCACACATGTATAAATGCACACCCCACTCCCCCATACATACACATGCACACTCCCATGTACACACGCACAGAAGCACACATGCATACCCCCCCATGCACACATGCATGCATACATCCACATGCCTATGTACACATGCACCTACATGGTCACACACGCACACACCCCCACACCCCTATGCTCGCATGCACATGTGCACAGATGCACACCCATCCACACGCACACATGCTTACACCCATATGTACACATGCATGTACATATGCACACACACGCACACACCCCACACCCCTATGCTCTCATGCGCATGTGCACAGATGCACACCCATCCACACGCACACATGCTTACACCCATATGTACACATGCATGTACATATGCACACACACGCACATAGCCCCACACCCCTATGCTCTCATGCGCATGTGCACAGATGCACACCCATCCATACGCACACATGCACACACACGTATGTACACGTGCATGTACATATGCACACACGGACACACCCCCACACCCCTGTGCTCACATGCACATGTGCACAGATGCACACACATCCACACGCACACATGCTTACACATGTACACAGGCATGTACATATGCACACACATGCTCACCCCCCCACACCCCTGTGCTCACATGCACATGTGCACAGATGCACACCCATCCACACGCACACATGTACACACACATTTGTACACGTGCATGTACATATGCACACACAGGCACTCATCCACACACACCAGACCCACACACACTGTTAAGATTGGAAACTGAAAGCAAATTTTGGGGCAGTAACTACCGATAAGCATGGCAGTGGGGTTCACAGGGACAGGCCCTGCTGGAGGTGACACCGCGGGTGTCAGGGACCTGGGAAAGCGGCTGTGGGGGCCGCAGGCCTTCGGGATATTTAGATCCCATCATGCCTCAGCCTCGCTCTGACCCACCTGGGCCCGTCCTGTCTCATCAATCATAGTTTAAATATTTATTTTCCCCACATCTCTTTGATCTTTTCTGTAAATTGAGGTCTTCCACAGAATTCTACGTAAAAGGAATGCTGACAGCGGCATTCTGATTTTTAAGGCATTCTCTGATTAGCATATTTCTCTTTTGCGGCCAGACCACTCGTCCTAGGAAGATTGTTAACTGGTCCTTTGCTCTCAACAGCCCTTCAGATCATCCGTGGAGTAACTGGAGAGCCGCGTGTGGGAGGCCCGGGCTTCCCGGCCACAAGGAGTCTTCTTTCCCGCCTTGGAGGGAGCGGGCCGGCTCCGGCCTGGCCGATCCGCAGGCCCCGCGGTCTGTTGGGTCCCCTGCTCTCGTAGTCACGGCACCTCTTCTTACGTCTATTACAAGAAAGTGTTCAGAAGAGCCAACTTATTTCCTCAAGAAAAAGAAATCAAGAGCCTGGTGTGTTTCGCCTCATGCTTTGGATACACTAATCCAAATCAGGTGAGCCGCCAGTTGTTTACGGTTGAACGTCAGACGCAGAAAGCTGATACATAGATCCAATAATTCTATTATCCGACATTGTACATACACTCCAATTTTCTGTGTCAGTCATTAAGTTTCCAGAGCAAGCAAAGATGAGAAGATTGCTCGTGCTTAGGCTCCCTGTTTTGTTTTGTTTTTTGCAGGCCGCTTAGCGAACTTGTCCCTCCTCTGTCTGCTCTGCAGTTGGTGGCCCACCCTGTCACAGAAACCCTCCAGCCCAGACTTTGTATTTTTATTAGGAATAGTTTTGAAATTTTAGGAATTAATTGCTTTCGGGCAATGCCTAAATTCAGTCCGTGCACAAATTGTGAAATGTACTCTGGAGTCATTCATCTCTAGTTAGAAGGAAGTGGCATGGCAGCTCTTTGCTATTCCCGGGAAAGGGTAAGTCACAAGAAGTGATTTTGTTCTTGTTTATTCTGTGACGTACATTTCTTTGAAAAACATTTTAGTTTTGCTGTTTCACACCCTAGTGAGGGAACCATCAGCCCTGCTAAAATTCATTGTTAATTCTAGTGAAGTGGAAATGATGGTGGGAGATATTAAAGATGTATAATTTTTATATTTTGAGACTTCATACAAATAGTAAAGCATGCCTTTCCCCATATCTGTTCAGGCTTATCTACAAAAGCACAAGAATCTGAATGGACTGTAACCCAGGCATCATTTATTTTCTTAAGATATAATTTAACATAATGAGGCTGACACGGTGACAGGCCCACTACTAGGAAAAAAATTGATACCAACACTAATAGTGTCATTTGCCTTTCACTTTTTATTTTAAAGAAGCCAAATGAAAAGAGAAACTGCTAAATAAAATATATTTCAATTTACCAAGTTAATGAATGTTTTCTGGTTTGTTTTTTTCTAAACTTCTCAGAAGAGTGAAAGAACGGTAATAATCCTGTTTTGTACTGGATCAAACATTCAGTGTGGCCATCCAAGGTTAAGTATCTTCTTTACTTAAACCGAAATATGTTTCCTAATTGTCATACTTGGTTCTATTACTATGTGTATATTTTTAATAAATATGGGCTTAGTTTCCTTTACATCTTTTTATTGAGTTTAACATACTTATTAAACTGAACTTCAGAGAATTATTGTGAATCTCAATCATATGTGTTGAAAAATACTTTCATAGTCTATGAAGAGCTACATAAATGTCAAGTATTACCATTATGTGCATAGCATTTCTTATAATTGAGTTTCAAATATATAATCAGTATCATGTGAAAAACCATAATTATGCTATTTAGCTCACATATGTATATTCAAAATAAGTACTTTAGCTGGCAATATTTGTATAGTCCAAGCAGATTTTTTTCCCTCTTTAAGATCTTTAATTTTAAGACAAAATATATATGGAAAAGAAATTCTATTTATGAACTGCAGCAAGGCATTCATACGTTTTTTTCACCTAAAAAGTCAGATACCTTTATATACTTATTTTTTATGTAAAGATACAATTTGCTTTTCTGACAATTTAGTGTTATCTCAATTTATAAAAAGTAATTCAAACAGTGATTTCATACTATTAATTTTTTATTAAAATGTACATATGAAGTGTTTTTTTAAATTTTTCAAATCATCTGTCCAAACTAAAATAGATCCAATGTTTTTTTAAAATTTTACTTCCAGCTCATAAATACAGCCACCCTTAGCTCTACAGAAAGGACTTGTCATTTTCCATTTTGAGGTAAATCAAGGTACAATTAGCGTGCCCATCATTACATCAATGGCAGAAATGCACACGGACCAAGGGAAGGTAGCTCTCAAGATTAGGAAAACAGACCTAGTCTCAGTCTCATTTTAAAGAAAGACAGATGGAAATGTATTCGCCCCTCAATGAACACTCTTTCAGGGAGTTGAATTCAAGTTATTATCTTTGATCACTAAATACATTAGACGTGTGCATATTTTTGACCATTCTCAATCTTTAATATATTTCATGCAAAATGTATCAGATGTTAAAAATCCACTCTTGATACATTCTCTTTGTTTACAAATTGAAGATGCCCACATCCAGGACGAAATCAAAAGTCAGTTTTAAGGTGTAAATTCTGTAAACCATGTGTATGAATTTAATTTTTGCCAAAATTATGTTTTTACACAAATCCATTGAAATAGTTCTCTTTGAATGTTAGGCAATAAATCTACAGCAGTGGTAGATTATTAAAACAACATGATGTAGCATCTTGAGAGAATAAAATATTTCACGATCCATCTTCCTACTGCTGAAGCAAAATGCTTGTGAAACATGTGCATTCCGTAGTTTGTATGAAATCCCAGTGCCACAGCCTGGTGAAGCAAGCTCTTTTTTTGTAGACTTCTTTTTTTAATATTAATCCAACAGAAAATTAGAGCTAGTCTATTTTATGATGATTTAGACACAAGGCAGTCAATTGCTGAATTGGAGCAGGTCATTTTTAATGGTACCTCCCACTTATCTTTTGCTTGTCACAGGTACCGAGCACATCCCTGTATATTCTCCTTTCCAACGAAGAAATAAACTTGCCTTTTTAGTTTCATGAAAGAAGCAGGCGTCTCTGATGGCTTATATTTAGTTACGATTTACACAGGCAGGACTGTGAGTCACACCCGGATGGCCTTCTGTTGTGTGTTTGCGTGCTGATGGGGACTGGCTTTCCTTTGCTGTTGTAGTTTGAAGTTGAAATGCTGCACTGCTGAGAAAATGCCATGAAAATATAACCCACCGCATTCCAGGAAAATAAATAAGCAAGGCCACCCAAATTTTCAATTAGTGCTCCTGCAGAATGCAGGAAATGGCAACAGATCCGTCCAAGGCACCCGAGGCCGGGTCGTGGGTAGGAAGCAGGGACGGAGGCTGGGAGGGGGACGAGGCCCAGCGTGAAGATGGCCTGTCTCCAAGGAAAACTGCCTGCTCGCAGGCCGGCGGGGGCTTCCTGGAGCAGACCAGCAGGCTGCGCATTCTGACCCAGGGTACCGCTGCGCCTCAAGGCTGGATGCTCCGTGGTGAAGTGACACTTGAAAGTTCTAACGACACTTCCCATTCTGTCTTCAAGCTCGGTAAACATTCCCAGGGCCCCCGACGCGGAACGTTAGCCACCAGAAACGGCAACATGCGGCCGGTGGGTGAAAAGTGTAAAATGCTTTTGATATTAAAGTGTCACAGCTAAGAACTGATTGTTTCCTGCTTGGTGGCTACTGCTTATTAACATGCTGTAGCCAACCAGGGAAGCCACTTTTCACCAGGCAGAGAGGCTCAGGAGCTGTCTTCTGTCGCCAGAGTGAACGCCAGTCCTGCCCTGGGCCAGCCAGAGAGGGCAGAAGCTAGGTCGCCCAGGGAGCTGAAAGTCAGCGCCGAGAACGCTTTCCGACTGTTTCTCTGAAATGTTCAAGTCACTAGTTTGAAGGCAGCTCTTGGGAGTCAACAAGGAAAGATGGAAACAGTGGATTCTTCAGGGATCCACCTACCAGACCGTGGCTTTCCATTCTTTTACGTGCCTTCTCTTTCACTTCTGGGCGTTTGGAATTTTGCAACTCGTCATGTTGAAGTTAGTTAAGAGAGGGAGGGTGGAAAAAGGGTTGGTGCTGTTCCAGCTTACAAAACAGACAGCCACTGTTATTTTGGATGAGTTTTATCTGCTGTGGGTCTAATTATTAATTTCTACAACGAGGCTAATTTTTGATCCCCCTCACACTGCACAGATAAACAAAAAATGAATCTACACATTCTATTTATTTTCACAATCAAGATGTGGGATAGTCGACTAGGTCTTATGGACCACAGTTGTGAAGGAAGAAAACGCGCAAGTGATCTTTCTAAGCTACAGTCATGTGGGCAGGAAGAATGGTCTGGGTAACTAGAAGGTAAATGTCCATCACTCCGTTGAAGATTAAATATGAAATCCGAATTGTGCGTTGTAATTATTTAAATGACAATGCTGTGTATTTGTGGTAATCACAGGGGAGTTTTTCCCTAAAGGCTTACCGCCTTGCCAAGAGACAGTAAATGGGAACAAAAGCTATAACCGTGTATTTCTCCTTAGCTGGTTTCTTCCAGTTGAGAGGATTTTCTTGTCAAATCAACTACTTTGTTAGGTTTAAAAGGCTATCATTTCCTTTTCACAGTGAAATCAGGAATTTCATTTTTGTGCACTATGGCAGCATTTCCTGTAATTGAATTCTATTGGTCTGGGAGTGTGTTCTTTACCTAGTTTTTTTTATACAAAATAAAGAATAGGGGGAAAAGCGCCTCTTTCATTTGCAACGGTTTCAAAACGTACGTGCCTCTGGATTTAGTAAGCTACGCAATTTTCAGCCGCAGGGACACCAGGAACTATATCCTGATGTAATGTCAGCCCGGAGCCGGCCCCAGGGGGAGTCCCCGGAGGGGACTGCCAGCCACCGCTTCCCAGCTGCCCTCCTCTGGCCGCTGGGGTGTCGCTCTGCTTCTCTCTGCCCCTTCTCCGCCACCCCCGTGGCTCTCGACGCTTGCTAGCAAGTTCCATCCACTGAACCTACTTCCAGAAAAGTACCTAATGAATTCCCATCAAAGTGTAAGTTATTCATAAGGTTTAACTTATTTATTCAACAAACGTTTCCAAGCACCATATTTGGTGAGGTCTCGGAGAAATACAGAAATGATGCTGGCACTTGCCTTTTGGGTAAGACACCAAAATAAATCACCATCCTGCAAGGCTTTGGGCTCAATGCCAGAGCTGGAAGGGACCTTGCCAGCACGCAGACCAGTCCTCTGATTTCACAGATGAGAAAGTCGAGGCCTAGAGCCAGCCGACTGACACGATCGCATTTCCGCTAAAACTCAGTAGAAACCTGCTGGTCCATCCAGCGCTCTTTCTGGGTCCCTTCAACAGCCAGATCTTGCTCACGCGATATGGTGGGTGAAATGCCCTCACAATATTCACCGCCACTTCCAAAGGCTTCTTCCACTGGCGCCAGCCTTGGCCCTGGGCTTGTGGGGGTGACGAAGGAGTAGGAGCAGAGGTGGCCTGTGCCCACCTCACCGCGAAAGCCATCCACCCTCACGTCCCCTCTCATTCCGGACAAAGCCAGTCCTTCAGCCCACCCCCTGGGATGGAGAATGCGCACAGCAAAGCGACAGCCAAGATGCAAGTGGCGGGAGTGAGAGGGCGCGCTCTGCTGCTGGAAGGCCCCAAGACATGAGAGCTGCTTGTGGCCGCGGCGTAGCAGCCTGGG